ACACATATCAATACATACATACTGGATCCAACCATCAACCATATGTGAAGAAAGGAACGTGGACGACGAAATAAAACACGTAACAACTGTGTTACGAGCGAACGGCCACGACAGAAAAGACATAATGTGCGCTATGCGTCCAAGGGAGAAGAGGCGAAACACCAGTGAAGATCAACCCCAAGGCACTGTCTATCTGACATACAAAGAAGGTGTCACCAACCGAATCGGAGAAATTTGAAAAAAAGTGAAAAGTAACACCGTCTTTAAACCAACGAAGAAAATATCNACTAACGTTATCAAAACTTATGAAACAATGAATGAATAGAACTGGCCGATACTTGATGACAATCCATATTGAAACTAGTTAATACAGTTTTTTTACTCATGAAACAGTATTGACCCTTGTATTATCCCTTGTGGTACTCAGAATTTCAACTCTACAGCAGCACATCATGTTCGCAATTTTGGAATGTTCTCTGTCAATAAAAAAAATCTCAAATTCCAATATTTTTTTATATTTTTTACCAGTTCTGCATCATATACTTCATTAGATATTGAAATTTTATTGGTTCACATAGATTATGAATGAAATATTCGTGATTGCAAATATCATATATCTTCTAATACTATTTCAATTACCAAGTGTTATTCAAATAATTATACTGGTCTGAATGCAGAAGAATGTAAGTAATTTTTGACTGCACTATAAACCCGATTAACAAGTGTTGAAAAATTGTGAGAAACCTTTTCTGAATAACGATCTCAATAGTATCCCAGATAACTAATCATCTACCACTTTGAGCTAATACAGCCGAAGGACAAAGAGTTCCTCTCCATTCTTTTTATTTATCTTTATCCACTTTCGAAGCGTTTTATTTTTATGAACTAGTCTGCGGAACGAATAAATATTGTAGATTCATTACTCCGTGGGGACGTTTAATTTGAAGACAGGAGGAGACAGAACTCAATAAATCTTATGACGTTAGTGAATTCCAGAACATTAATTTTCTGAAAGAAAATTCAGCTAACCAACACGCATGAAATATCAAATATAATAACATCATTTGTAGAATATTGGAGGTGGTAGTTTGATAATGATATTGAAAATCATGAAAATATTTGTAAAGCTATATATCTTTCACTGAAATACGCTAATCAAGAAACACGAAGAATCTCAAACTCCGAGGCATTTTTNCCTACTCAGGAGCTCATGGAAGACGATTTTGATGGTAGAACTTATTTTTTTGACCAATGATGGACATGTTGGATAACGATATCATCCAATTAGAAGACGTTATGTTTCCTGATGAGTGTACTTTGTCTCTTAACGGTCATGCTAATCGGCAAAGTTGTCGCTACTGGTCAACGGAAAATCCTCACTAGATGAGAGAAACAGACATGCAATACCCTCAAAAGGTTAATGTTTGGGCAAGATTACAGGAAACCATATCATTGGTTCCTTTTTCATTGAGAGCAACTTGAATGGCGATAATTATTTGGCACTACTTCAAAATGATGTCATTCCAAGTTTACCAAATTCATATCCTGATCCAAAAAACCCTTAAGTTCCAGTGTTTTCAGCAGGATGGAGCACCTGATTACCAAGTTAATGTCCGGCAATACCTCGATACAACATTTCCCAATCGGTGGATAGGGAGGTAAGAATCGATTGAATGGCCAGCGCGAGCACCTGATCTTCCATCATTAGATTTCTTTTTATGGGGATACGTGAAGAGCAATGTATACAAAACTAAACCTTCAGATTTGAATGACTCAAAATTTGAGATTAGGATGTTGACAAGACGTTCGCGTTGAACATTTTAAACATCTACTTCGTTAACATCCATAGTTATTTCGTATTCTACATTTCATTGCGTTTTGCATACATTTTAGTTTTTGAGAGTATTTCATCGAATTTCCATAACCACAGAATTTTAATTTATTTTATCTCAATTATTTTAATAAACTTGAAAGCAATTACATTTTTGAATAGAGAATGAAGAGGCCTTTCAAACGATATATCACAAATCTATACTTCCTATTTAAAAAATTGGCCGTTGTACCTGTCATTCGAAGAGGGTTGAAGGTAGAGGTGGCTTTTTTACGTTGAAGAATGTCTAATAATAATTTACATTCGTGTTCCGGGATTTTTCAAATATGTAGAGCAACCGAAATATTGAATTTATTTCATTTGGCTTTTACACACTATATGTTCTTCACTGGTTCATTGTTGGGATTTCAAAGTTTTGAATGAAACAATGACAATTCAACATTGCTATCTAAATGAGGTAGGTATATAAAGTCACTCCTACAGTTCTGCTAGATACATTAATTATTGGTCTCACCACAACAATCCGTTGAAGTCAACATGGTCAAGCAGATGAAACATCATATCCGACTCTTTCTTCCACCAAAAACGTTTACACATTCAACTCAACTCCTACAGAGTTCACTTATACTCCTAATAGTTCGGATACCATAAATTTTGAATCTTACAATAAATCGACGTTCTCAAATGTCAAAGAAAAAGTTTGAATGAAATTTCAGTCAATATCAATGTATAGATTTCCATGTTTTAGTTGCAGTGCTGAGTAAACGTTTGTTCAAAAAATAGAGTGAATTTTCATATTCATTTATTCACCAATTTCTATTTCTATTTCACTTGAGGCACCGTTTTTGCCAATCCTCGAAGCTGTTTTGAAATGCATTTTTTGGTATACATTTGAGCTCTCTCACCGATTCGGTTTTCATCTCCATAATCATCGCAAAACTCCGTCCTATCATTTGTACAAATGACTTTTATTATAATTTATAAAAAAAGCACTTCATATAGAGATAATAAGTTTTTCAATGAACCTGAGAGAGCTACGGAATAAAAACTCCTTCAAATCAAAATTGAACTATATTTGCAAAATAAATGTTACTATAGTATCAGAGAATTTCTTGATACATAATGAAGATGTGTTTGCTCGTCTGTGTGAATATAAATTTAATAAATGTTTCTATGTATGTGTACCAATCTGTCGAATAGTGATTTATCTTATTGATTGTTAATGTGTCTACCATCTCATGGTTTTTGTTTGTGACATACTCTATATCATGTCCGGCATAGATTTCTGCCTTAGTGCGGCAGGCCGGTATGATTTTAAGATTCGAGAGTAAAGAGGGCAAAATTCCACTAAGGACTCAATCAGAACAAACATCTTGACAGAGTAGTCTGAATAGAGTCTGTGGAGTTTTCTGGTGGTCGAGAAGGACTACATCAGGCTTATTAGCTTGTATAAACCTGAGGGTGGGGAACGAATAGTTCCAATAAATTCGGCACTTCTCGTTCCCCATAACGGAATCGTAGGACAACACCGGTGTCTCGTCATTATCGTAAGAGTGCCGTAGATGGTAATATATCACTCTGAGGGCGGCGTTACGTCGATGGATATAGGCCGAAACCGACTATGGTGAACATGCTGATAGCAAGTGCATTAGGGTCTCGGGCGCCTCGCGGCATGCCCTGCATCTTGTGTCAGGAACCTCTATACTCTATGCACCATCCTGGTAAGCCATCATGAACTCCTCAGTTTCCGACTTCAGCCCACTCTACCCGAGGAAAGCAAAAATTAGGCGCTTTGATAAGCCAAGGTTATGGAAGAAGACCCCATGCATTGGCTTATCCTTGTGTTTCTGTAGGAGTAAGGTTATCTCTGCGGTTTTTATATGAGCCTTTTGCTGAACGGATTCCAACTCGGTGACAAAGTTGTCACCTCGTTCAGGGTCGAAAACTATATCGATTTCATCAGCTGCATGGGCAGCTGCCCTGAAGAGAAATGCTCCAATCTCTGCTCTCTCACGGTCACGGACCATGCAGAGAAGAGGATCCGAACTCCTGACGACTTTACAGACTGTATCCAGTACCATTCTCTCATGTAGACACTGTAAACTCAAAAGTCCACGGCCTCCCTGATGCCGGGGGAAGTACAACCGTGAAACAGACGATTTGGGATGCAAACCCCTATAGAGATGCATCATTTTTCGGGTCTTTACGTCGAGTTGATACAGCTCCTCCCGAGTCCACTTTACTACTCCAAAGAAGTAGAGTAAGATTGGAACGGCAAGCATATTTGTTGCAGCCACTTTATTGTTCTTCCAAATCTGTTGAAGTTTGTGCTGATACTTGCCGCGGAGAGAGTTCTTCACTGCTATTACCTCCGGCATCCAAATAGTGTAGGATTCTTCCATCTACGAGCTGCATATCCTCTCTATAGTCCCCGCATCGTCCTCTATTGAGATGGACCATTGCACATTTGTCTATCCCGAATTTCATACCAATAACATGCGTGTACTCTTTCACCCCCCTTGAGGACTGATGGAGATCCTTCTCTCCAGAGGCAAAAAGTTTAAGATCATCCATATAAAACAAATGAGTGAACTTGTGCCTTCGGTTTCCGGGGATGCCACAGTTATACCCTCTAGTATTTCTGATCGCAACGGACAATGGCAATAGTGAGATGCAGAAGAGAAGGGGACTGAGGGAATCACCATGAAATACACCCCTTCTGAAAGTGACCCACCCTGTTTGGACTCTTGCTTGACCAGATGTTATGTTGAAGCAAGTTCGCCAAAGTGGTATCAGTTGTTCGATGTATCTCACTATTTTGTTGGGTATTATTATTATTGTTTCTCATTGTTTTGATATTATCAATATACTCAACAAAATATTCTGGTCCTAGTATGATATTCCTTTCATAAAAAGTATTTTACAACTTTTTTGACAGTAGTCGCCAGAATAATAGCCAAGAAACATTCTCAACAACATTAGAACAAACGTTTTCTCATACATTAGTCATAATTGTATTGAACTGAATTTTCTCGAAATTGCCGCTATTATAAGAAGTTCATTATTTGCCACGATTGTAATAAGTGCGAAATCCTTTCAAACCAGTTAGCAACATTCCATTAATTTTCAAATGCAACAAGGCCGATCGAAGGTTGCTTATAAGTAATTTAATATATACTTATTTACAGTTTGTACAAATGCTTACATAACATTACAAATTAGTGTGGCTCTTTAATTTACAAGTTCCGATTCAACGAAACATACATAATAATGATAACCAGTCTGTGAAATGTATAGACATCTAGTTGAAGATTAGGTTAAGCTTCTTGAACAATGTTTGTTATTGGAAAAGTACGAAATCTACTCTGAAGTTGTTACTGACGTTCCGTCAAATCGGATTTCAATTATATACAATATGCACATTTCTATAAAATATTCAATAAATATTCCTTATCCAGGTACTAATATATTACACTTGACTCAGTTGCACAGTTTCGAAGAACATAAGATGAAATGAATGCCTCATCTGCAATCAATTTCCAAATTTACTAACTAATCAGACCGTGGAAAAAATATTAAATAAATTTCGATAACATGGTAAATTGATTGCTCTTCAAAACATTTTGCATGGGTTTCCACTCCACCTTTGTACACTTCTCACCTAACAAGTTAATTACATTCACTGCAACATTTAAGACTGAAGGACACGTCAGATTCTTCAGTTGTTGGTTAACAGGTAACAGTTTCGTGAAATTTCAATTAAATACAGTTATTTTAGATAATCTAAGCTGATGTTATCAGTAGTCTTGGAAGTGACAATTTGGATTTTCTTGTTTCATTAAAAACGGTTACAGTAAAAAAATAACGAATTCTTCAATCTAAAACTAATCGGGAGTAACTTTCTATAACATGGGGTTGGTCAAAGCAATCAGTTTTGTCAGTCCTTCATTTGAGGAGTCATTAGTTTATAAACTACTTCCATTTACATGGTTGATACAAATCATAAAAACTGATTTCAAATAAACACAACCAGTTTTCTTTGGGAGATTGTGTTAATCAAAACAACATCTCTCAGTCTTCTTCGACACTATTTGAATAACATAATGCAATTCAAATGAATGAAGTATAATTTCAAAGAGAAACTTGTCGAACCAGGAGGAAAAATTGATTATCGAGATAAAATTAGTGATTTAGTTTTTATAAGATATAATGTTTTTGTAATACATAACGGTGGCATATGTGGTATACGAGTAGAATAATCGACCGAATGGTATTAATTCAAAGTAAATTTATGTAAAAAATTAAATTTATGTAAAGTAAAAAAAATGAAGTTTTCATTCCTCCTTAGCAATTGTGAAAAATATAACCTTAATGATTCTTCTGATTCACTTTATGAGCGTATTCAACACTTGACTTCGAAATTCTGACAAATAGCATTAGGAGCTTAATTGACCATACAGATAAAAAAGTTGAGAGTCAGAACAAATTATCTTGGATCATAATTGAAGGTTATTTTCGATTAAGATATACATCAACATGAACTTTAGACGGTTAGAACGGAATTCCGAGACCATCCTATCCTTGCACCCCTTTCTGAAAAAACATATCTTTATCACCTTCATAACATCATAGTGCAAGATATTTTGATTATGGTAGATTTAAAGTTTTAGAATCAGCAAGTCACGTATTCTTGTACAATCAAAAAATAATTCTAACTTCAAATTCAAAGATGAATCTTTACGATTTACAAAATTTCATATAGGCATGAGATTATCTTATTTTACTTGAGTTGTTCTGTAATGTGTCTAAAAAGAAATGAATCCTTCATAAATTTTCATAAGAAAATTACGGAAATGTAAGGGAAGGAAATCTGAAACATTTGCCTAGGAAATTTACTAAATGATATTAACTTTTTCAGAAAAAGTCCTAATTGTATTTATAAGTTCTGTTCACAAAAATGGAATCAAATAATGACAAATATAATAATTTCTATATCTTGATTTTCTCTAAAAAAGGTTGATAGAAAGCTTCTGATTATATTATTAGCGATGATTTTCAATAGAAACTACGTTTTATTGGCGAATAACGACCAATTATATCATGAAGAAATTTAAGGTCGACCTTTTCAAGTCACTATAGTACATTTAAGCGGATTCACTATTGATATGGGATTATATGATTGGAAAATGTTAATATATCGGATAAGTTAGGAATATAATGCTATCCTCATGAAAAATATTTATTTAATAAAAATATTCTCTTATGCTAAAGAAAACTCACACTTTTGTAGTTTTCAGAAAAAAATGTTCTACTGAACATTGTTCAGAATAGAAAGACACGATTAAAGATGAAATATCAAATATTATTTTATAGAAAACAATGACTGACTGACCAAAAGCAATACTGAAACAGAAAGGAGCAGTTACTTTGACAACGGTTTCAGTTCATTAATCCGTAAGGTAACCTCCAGTATGTCCCCTATTATACAATAGTTTAAGCAGTGCCTCTTTTCTTGAGCACCTGTCCTATAAAATTATTTTCCAATATTCTTATCTTGGTTTACTAAACCTCTCTTGGCACTGCCTTACATTTAGGTTAGAAACAGAGACTTCAAAATCTACCTCTTCACCATTAACATACTAAGTGATAGTAAAGCATTTCGAGTAGGATTAATGGAGAGTCACAACAGTTTTTTTCAAAGAACCTATCAATTGTGTGCAAGTGAAATCCAGCTCTAATAATTGAATCAATAAAAGGTAAAAATGTTGATGAAAACTATTCATTCAAAGATTTAATGTGTAGTTGTCATTGTTCATTAACGTTTCTATGGATATAAAGTCCAACGCTAAAATCAACTGTACAGTTCTAAGCAGCGAATGAATGTCAATCTATAAAATAGTAAACAAAGGGGGAGTTAATTCATTTTCCCAACAGTGAGTGTCAGTGAATAAAATAACCGAAACAAATTATATCATGTACGTGTTTTACTTGTGAATTATTTCATTACCGACTGTTATAAGATGGATGTAGATAATTATTCAAAATAACTAATTCAGTTCCTTTTCGTTAGTAAATTACTTTCTAACTCCCAAATGAAAGTTTATAGTTGATTTAAAAATTATAAAATAAAATGTGAACGTACTACAAATGTATGTATCTGAAAAATGTTGATTTGAAAGAAGTCAACATAATTCAACTAAATGGTATTGTTCACTGTGTTTCTCCTCAAAATAAGGAAATCCAAACCATCATTACAAGTTCTTTCATATTGTGAATATTAACTACAGCAAGTCATGTGCATTTATCTACTAGAGAAATACGGTAGTCTTCAAGATCGTTTTCTCTTGAACGAGAAACTCAACTCTAAAATAACTGTACGACAGTTAAACTAAACTAAAATTAGAATCACAGATGAGGAGAAAATAGTCAGGGGCATGCTCAGTTTTGGCCAAACCCCACACACAAACATCGTTAGCATTTTCACTGGGACAGCTGTTTTTGCTAGGATAGCATCAAGTCATGATCACAGACGCAGTTACAACCGGCACTAAACGGCACTACCGACACCCACAACCGACGGCAACCATTTCTTTATAGTTCTTCAGTACTACTTTGTTTTCCTCGTTCAAGTACAACATCGACACGGGGTTTAAGTGTGTCGGAACACAACACGCTTTTGGAACTTTCTGCGGATTCACAGAGTTCATCAATGTCTGCACGATTGCGTGATTTGAGGTGTTCAGGTGTGCCGCGAGGGGAAAATTGCAGTCCCCATCACACTTGTAGGCGTTGTATCCAGGTGGCGCAACTATCCAGTCGCTCCACCCTACGTCAGTGAAATCTACGTACATCTCATGTCTGCTGCAAGGGTTTTTTCTGGCATGCTTCTTGGACGATCTTCTCCGCCGCTGGGTTTGAGCCATGTCAGCGGCTCTTTTCTGCACACTTTTACCGTCATCCGTGTAGGCCAGCAACACGGGCTGAAGATGATTCCATTCGTTGGGATGATGCGTGCTCCTGCGTAACCTAACGTGATTGGCAGGAGTGGATTTGTTGTTTCCCAATCCCCACACCGAGATCAGAAGTCCATGGTTGCCGCTAGGATTCGCCAACCACCTTTGCACGGCAGGAAATACGTCTATACTGACAGTGGTGTTTCTTCTGGTGTCTATGAGAGTAGTATCCACTACTCTGGTGATCGCGTTCTGTTTCCCTTTTATCCCGGGTTTGACGATGTCGCTCACTATGATTCGTTGGAAATGTTCCCTTCGATCGATGTCTTCGGTCATCCATTGGACTTCTTGTCGGCTGAGTGTCAGTTCAGCTGCTTTCATTTTCTCGTTGCTTGGGACGCTTGATACATTGAACTTCAGCCGAAACTTGTGGTTACTTGAAAATTTGGAATCTATCGGACTTTCTGAAAAGAAAAAAATTAATCAATCTCTTGAAGTAAATAGAAATATCTAACAAAGCATTTCAGTTTTATTACCAGAATATAAATGATCTTAACCAAGTTCTCAGGACTGTCTGAAACAGTGGAATCAGTGTCAAGTACACAGAACATCGGATGAGGTATTTTGGGTTTATTCAGAAACTTCCACGGTATGAGGGAAAATTGAAATGGAAATTATGTTAGGACAATCCTGATTTTCTGAAAATTGGATCATACTATTCGGTAAGAATATAAGATTGAACACATTGAATTACCGGTTTAACACTAAACCGTTATTTTACCACCTCGACACACATCAAACTAGTTAGTTTGATCTTCATCTTGAAGTTTAGTTTAATCTTCTTCTTGAAGATGATCACTTGATGATCGAAACACGTGTCGATGTGTTAAAATTACGTAATATCCGTTCTTCAGTGAGGAGTGAAGGAATGTAAACTTTTTATCTTCGCCAATAAGTAGAGCGAAAGAGTTCAGTAAATCATATTTTGATCTTTGAATAGTGCATTGCTTCAACACAACTTTTGTACTTTCTCTGTTGAGTCAGGGTTTATTCTACTCTTTCTTTATGCAGAGAGATATGTAGATTTCCTTTTTAATTGAAATGATTTTCTAAAGCTGAGTATCAACTCCTGAAGTCTTAAATGAATTTGGACTTATGTAATTTTTAACTAGCATCTAGAGACAGTAGCCGTATTGTGTTAGCATATGAGTGGACGAGATCATGAAATTTAATTATTTCAAATGAAATCTAACCTATATCACAACCGGTCCGACACTGAATATAGTAAAAGAAATAGAAATTGAAGAAATCAAATCATTTATTGCTAATGCAATAAAGATACAAGAGTGACAAAATTATTTTACGGGATCGTTGGACGTGATCTTATGTGTAGTAATGTGTATGTAGTGGTTACTGTGAGAACAACAAGGGTACTGCGCCCCTTGCATCATCGCCTTTAATACTGTCAACCGTGATTGTACATGAATCACCAGACATTATATTACAGAATACGGCCTGCAAACTGCCAAAATAGCTGTGGTACTTGAAAAAATTGTGATATTCTTAACTGGAAATAATGAAAATACTAAGTATTAATTGAAGACAAAGATTTTCATTTAACAAAAACCACTATAAAATTCAGAAACGGTAACATGTCACGTTATCGAGTGCTAATGTGCTCATTCTGTCATCTGCCTAACGAATTGCTTTTAATAAATTCCTATTGATACCATATCTTTGATTGTATTTCAGTTGATAGATTTCAAATGTAATTGGCTAGAATGGTTATTCATGAAATGAAAGTTGAAGTTTTCTAGTTACAGAAAGAACCATGACAAGTTTTATCAAATTGTTGTGTAAAACAATGCTTCAATGATTAATCCCAGAAGAATTAATTATTGAAATGATTATCGCCTAATATCCGGATTCAAGTCATCAGTTTTTAAAATAAAGAAAGTGGGCAATTTTATCAACCTTCAATTCAGGACACTGTTGGAATAAATGGAATCCTTCAATTTTCAGGTGTGATAAGTGAGTTTGTATGAGGTTATTCAATTAAGTACAAAATATTGTATAACATACTGGCCGTCCCACTTTCGCTACCGAGAGGCAACAACAACAACAACATCAAGTGTTTTGCATCGTTGCCATTTATACGAAACTTGAAATATCGACCAGATATTGAAAATATTCCATACATTTATTATCTTATGCTAATAAGGATTATTTGCAAATCTGGTTATTCCTTACTATTTTATCCACTATCTTGCCATAGCGGATAATTGCAATGTTCTTGGTTATTTGAGGAAAGTTGATATCATCGGCCCTGATGTTTTTTCATTATTGTATCTCCTGTTACACTCTAGCAGTCCAATAACAGAAAATCAATCCAAATTACTTAATAGTTTGCAAATATTATAATCAGAAAATACATTTGAGCGTTATTCAACTTCAATCATACAAATTCGCGTTTGAACTCTTCAAGCTTCGAATGAACTTGTCCTAGAAAAATTACTTTTTCAGAATATTAGAATCGTCAACTCTTAAATATGTTTTTGTATCATCTGAAGAAGCTCTAGGAGTATAACATTATATTATATAACATGCTCCATTATATCTGTAGCAATATAACAGCTGATGGCAACTTTGTTGGTGTAGGTGATGGTTTATTGTAGCTCATTGGCGGTGAAACGCTTGTGGAGGAATATGTTACAGTTCTGGTGTGCAGAAGAATTATTTCTCTTTTGAATCTATCTTTTACCAAGGAAACCGAAGGTTGGATGAATGTTTTACTTGAACTTCTAGGCACACACTTACGTTCGTGATGTTGACTTTATGGACAATACGAACTTGACGACAGAATCACGTGTATCACTCATTAGCAATGAAGACTTCATTCCTATGATTTCATATTTGAGGTTGATTAAGCAGAATCGTTTAGGCCGAATCAACTAAATATGCTTTGTCTTGCATAATTGCCATTGAAAATAGTAATTATATTCAGAAAATTATCCCATTCATCCAGTTCCCTTGGGAACTTTCTTATAGTTGTAGAACGTAGTAGTGTTGCTTCTCTTCTAGGATCAATTGGTCAATTAGATCTTCAGATTCTCTAGAGTAATTGTTCTCCAGTCTTCTACAAGGCAAAAAAGTTCCCATTAATCCAATTGATCCACTTTAACGAAAATCCAAGGGAGCGTGACTAATGTCACACCAAATCAACTTGTTACGATTCAGCTAAATAATTTTATCATATTTCAATATTGTTAATGTTAATCCAGAATATTTCTGGAATGAAGGTACTGATATTCTTGTATTGCAGTGGATGTGGCACCACATCTGGGAATTCAAAAGATCAGCTGGTAATTTTTATAATCCTCTCAAAACTCACTGAGTCACTGAAAATAACGGATTCTTCGATAGTATTTTCAAAACCTGAATTTTTGACTTCTAGCAGAAAATATTTGGCACTGATTGTCTCTACATTGCAAATCTCAAAAATTGACTGCGTGATATAAACCTCTGACGAGTGAAAAATCATTAAGTTGTATGGCCAAATTTGGCATATACAGTAAGATAGATTAATGAAATGAATATATTCTTAGCTTTCTTTACAATGACTGATATCTCTTTCCGTTCTCAAAATCGAGAAAGATTTGTAAAAAAGTATCTCGATGGGAATGTAGAAAAATATATAAAGGTGTGGCTTTTAGGTTTTAAGGAAAACTATCTCTATTCCGTAACAACAGTTTTAGCTGCAAAAAGCCCAATGTAACAACGTATGTCAATAGGTTGACGAAGGCATGTTCAATACATCAGTGGTCCAATGTGTCATAAAAAAGTTTGAGCCATTGTCTTGAAACAACTCTTTCAGAAATAGTGTCCAACTGCAATGGAAACTTTTTAGAAATAGTCACAATCTGCAATGGAAACTGTTATTTCTGAATTAGACTTAAATATTGTTGACAGATAGGACCACTGGTGATTATTGATGTATTGACGAAGGCGTGTTTAACCTGTCAAAAAAGTTGGAGCCTATTTCTGAAAATATTGTTTCCGTAATTTTTCATGACAGGTTATACCACTGGTGTATTAAATACACGCCATAGTCAACATAATAATTAGAGTCTATGTCTGAGACTTATTATTTAAATTTTTCATGGCAGGTTGGACCAACATATTGATATTGATTTTCTTAAGGGATTGTCCCTACAGCTGAGTCCTTGACACCTGTTGTTTTCTATGGTGAAAATGTTAAACAATTCAACTTGATATAAGATGCATGAAAACTGAAACAACAATGAATCAATATAATTATTAATCTGCTTATCTAACTCCGAAAATAATTTTTCTATACCGCAGAGAAATATTCTTGTTCAATTTCGTGAACAACAAAAAATGTATTCATCAAAAAATGGAATGGTGATGTTTCTTTCTAAAAGAAATTCAAGGTTAGATGATTCAACTAAGTGCCTGAGTAGGAGAAGGGACTATGCCACACAAGTTGTGTTTTTAATTTCAATATTTCTGAATTGGCTCCTACCTATGGACCATAAAACAAACTCCTTGGAAGTGTGCCATATCCCTATCTATATCTATTGTTTCAATGAATGTTAATTTATTCAAGATTATGTTTGACTTATCCTCATAAAACTATAATTTTATGAAAAAGTTGATTTTGTAGTCTAGCCCCTTCTCTCACTGCGGCACTCAACTGATATATGAATAGATGTTTATTTTGAATAAATATCAAAGGGTAATACAGGAATTGGCCGATTTTCTAGCATATAAAACTAAAAATTAAAAAGTAATTAATTCCGATGAGCGTTTTCATTCTTTCAATTCCACAAGAATTAGATATCAACAGATCCATATTTAGCTCGAAGATATCAAACTATTATTATTGAACAGGTAAGGTGAGACATTTTTACCATCGTTTCGATATTAACTATTACTTTAGCGATGCTAAAAATTTCTTTGGAGCTACAAAAATGCAGAATTTGGATTGTATACATTGTATTTAATGAGATCTCAAAAAGCAATAACGTTTTTCGATCAAATGACTTGAGTTTTTTTGAATGAAATTTTCCCTCAAAAGTGTTGTTGGCGTGGTATTCGCTATTTCGCCACACCTTTTCTTGAGATGACGTAATCAATATACTTATCAGTTCCCCAGTCTTCTAAATATTCATTGCAAGAGGTTGCGTTTTGACGTTTCATTGGTTGGTTGACTGGAAATTTTTTGAATATTTCTCATTGAATTGCAGAAAAAGAAAGTGAAATGTTTTATAAATTAATAAACTTGAATATTGGGATACCATAAACTTGGCATCTATGCAATGTAAGCGGGGGAAATCTCGATCTCGGACCAGCTAGTAACAAATAAAGAGATGTAAGTAGGCCGGGTTTGTATGACCTGACCACATTAGCGTATCTAAAGGAATTTGAATCCTTAATTTCTCTC